TAATCTGATTTATAATTCTTCTTCAGTTGCTAATCTCTCTACAATTACTAATTAGAGTTTGATTTTGGTTCTGCAATAGATAATTGTGATTAGTTCTTTAATCCTTTTTGTTTAATCACTGAACTGGAAAAAGAGGTTTTAATATATGTATTGCTTGAATCTGGAGTTTGATAGAGATATATTTGAGGGTAAGATTTTGATTTGTTGAGGTTTTTTGTAGGTGAAGAGCCTCCAGAATCTTTGTTTATGAAAGAATTGAAGAGAAGAGGTATGACTCCTACTTCATTGCTTCAAGACTATGAAGTGAGTGAAGAAGAGATGAAAACCGGTAAAGAAGCTGGAAATAGCTCGAAAACGACTGCGACTTCTCCAGCATTTGATCAAAGCTTGTTGAATCAGAGAGAGAGATCGTTGGCTTTAAACAGTGAAGGGCTTGAGGTCTGATGTTTACTTATTTATAGTCCAATTCATGATATGGTTTCCACATATTTGCTTGTTTGACGAAAGATGGTAGTAGTATATAACAACTTATCGAATGACAAAGGTTTATTGAATGAAAACTTAGAATTTGGTTTTGTTGTGGTTCAGGGCTTGATTCCACGTGCTAAGATCTTGCTGACAATTGGAGGGACTTTCTTCTTGGGTTTTTGGCCGCTGATAGTCTTAACTCTCGGTGCCTTCTCCGCCCTTTACCTCGTAAGTATTTTAGTAAGATCAAAAAGTGTAACATTTCTCTGTTATCCTTGAATGAACTATTACATTGAAGAACCTATGATCAAACCTTAAGAAAGAACCAAAATGTATTTTTGAGATTTGTTCAAGAGATCTCGACTCTGAACCCAATCCAAGTCATATTTACTTTTATGCTTATCAAGTATGCTTACACATTGTGTCGCCCATAGAAAGTGTTTCGGAACTCGGTCTCTAATGTATTGTTTCTATTGTCTATAGTGTTAAGGTTTCTTTCCACTTAACAAACTGATCATGTTTGTTTGTGGTTGTTGAAAATATCAGTACTTTGGAGCAGATTTCGTTCACGACGGAAGCAGAACTCCGGTTTCGCCACCACCGTACATCAATCCATATACTCTGTTGGAGGATGAGAGGATATCAGGGATTGATCCTCGTGTAAATTAGCCCAACATATTTCTCTTTACGCTCAACACTAGTAGTCTACATATTTCCTCTTAAGTATATATTTATTCACGTTCTTTTTTTTATCTTATTCCTTATGGATGTAAAAAAAAAATGAAACATTGTTGCTTCTCTCTGTTCTTCCGACTTTACAAGGGTGAGAAGTTTAAACGCAGAAAAAGTGACAATCTTTCGGCATCTTCTCTTCCCCAAAAATCAAAATTATTTTCGAAACGTGTCTGAAGGAATCCAACTCCATTAAAACCGTTCAATTCCAAATTTTGATTTTTTATATTTTTTCTTATCACAAGCTAAGATTGAATTCAGGTATTAAGGTCTCATGCATAACAGAACTAGATAGTTATCAGAAATAAGAATCAAAACGCAACTCAAGAAGATAAAACCATAACAGAATTCAAATAGAAAGAGATAATAGAGATGTAGTTTTAGAAAACAACACAACTAAAGACTCGTCACAAGATAGTATCGAGCCAATTCAAGCAAA